CCAAAAATTGATCTGACGATAAAATTAGTTATTTTCCGAAATAAACCTCGTTAAATTTTCTATAAAAAAGTTCCTATACATTTTTTTGCTCAATGCAAAATCAAGCGCGCTGGCGGGCTCCGAACTTTGAAAAACGAGCAAAAATTGTGTTTTTCGCGGTTTTTGCCCAATGTCTCCTGTTTTAATCGTCCGACGAGTGATTTCTGGACAAATTAAGTGAAGATGATAAAATTTACACTTAGTGAAATGAATTGATGTAAATAATAAGGATAACCCAACACATTACAGTATGCACAATTTTCGCACATTTTACAAAGTTCGGAGCCCGCCAGCGCGCGTGGTTTTGCCTTGAGCAAAAAAGTGTGAAGAAATTTTTTTATAGGAAATTTAACGAGCTTTATTTCTGAAAATAACTAATTTTGTCGTCAGATCAATTTTTGGCAAGTTACAGGCCATAATCTGGAAAAAAGTCCGATTTTAGGCCATTTTTGCCAAATTTGGCAACTTTCCGGTCCGAATTCAATGGCGCAAAGTTGACATTTGGATTCAGCGTCAAAAATTACATAGGAATCGATGAAAACATTGCTACCCGGGATTTTTGCAGGCTCTTTTCCTTGTTTGCCTGGACTACTGGCGGATCTAGCAAATTGGCAACATTTTTCTTCCCCGATATAAGCCTACAGAAATGTATCGGTTCTTGGAGCGGTCAGGTGCTTTGACAAGAATCGATTATTTAACGTAGGTTTGAATTGAGGAAATTCGGTGTTGCCAAATTGCTGAACCCGCCTCTGGACGGAAAACTAACTTAACACAGAATGAAGGCGAGCGGTCAAATTCTCATATACTCTTTATCGCTCCTCCGACGTTTGGACGTATCTCTATTTTCACTTGAGCCCCAGAAAGCATTGAGTTTTACGGAGAACAGAGCTCACAAGGAAATCGAGTTACGCCCTTACGTCAGAGAGACGACGTCTTGTGCCACGGACTGTAATCCTTCCTATGTATAAGAACTTTCACGCAAGGTCGGTTACACGCTCACTTCTTCATCTTCCGAATCACCGCCAAAAAAAATTCCGGTTCAGGGATTCGGTCCAAAAAATGAACCAAATCCAGGTGGGGAAATTCGCTCCTTGTTTGACAGGACTGCCACAGAATTTAAAAAATGAAATTCCCTGATTTCCCTGACACATTTCGGTGAAATTCTCTGACAATTGTAGGTATGCTAAATGGTTAAAAGACACAATTAGCAATAGTTTTCAGGCAAAAGTTGTCGTTCGGAACGTCAAATCCATACTAAAAGGAAATAAAGGTGACTTGATAATTTTCCCCTAAAATTTCCCGGTCTTCCCTGTCTTTTCAAGATTAGATATGCCAGACGGTTAAAAATACATAATTGAAAATAGTTTTTATAGGCAAAAAGTCGTTCGAAACGTCAAACCCATACTTAAAAGCAAATGAAGGTGACTTGATAATTTTTACCTAACATTTTCTACAGTACCTATGTAGCGAGGGTATGGACAGATCGCTTCATGGAGGGCTTAGGGCCCAAAAGTGCAGCCACCCTTCTAACCAACTTCTAACGCACAAAATTTCACTGCCAGTCTGCAGATTCCAATTCTACCTAAGATGGCTAAGAATGTACATAAATAAGCGTTCTTCCGCAAAATTGAGTAAAGTTATGCAAAAACTAAGTCAAATACGTGCTTTATAAACGATGGTTCGTAACAATTGTATTAGTGAAGCGCTCTGGATAATTGAAATTCATAGGTTGGCTGCATTTCTGGGCCCTAACTTTATTCGCGGAGACATCGGTGAAGGCCTGATGGATTTTCGGAGTTTTACATCCGTCTATACTCTCGCTATAGAGGTACTCTTAACATTTTCCGGATTCCTAGACTATTCCAAATTCCCCGGGATATCCCAGTATTCCCTGACTGTGAGAGCCCTGTTTGAGTAATTTGTTGAATTTTTGTTTCAGATTTTCTTCCGGGGACTTATCCTCGGAGGCGGACAACGATGTGCCTATGCCAGGCCCCGCAGGACAGCCGGGGCAGGCGTCGACGGGTGAGATCTACGGGAGCGGGGTGCGGCAGCCGGGAGGGCCCCCGGGGGGCATGGGCCCCACCGGGACCGCCGTCGGGGGCGGGGGTGGGGGTGGGCCCCCCAACGCTGGCGACCTCTCACTGAACCTCAACAAGGCCGGCTCCAAGACCACCAGCGCTCCCTCGAGCCCGGCCAAGACGAGAGAGTCCCTCCTTCAGCGCGTCCAGTCCCTCACCGGCGCCGCCAGGGATCAGGGCGCCACTCTCATCGGTAACATAGGTCAGTATCACGCCTATCCACCGGGCCGATCATTCAAATTGATAGACAAAGCTATAGACAAAGAAAAAATGAGGGATATGGAGGGATCCTATTCTGCCATGCTAAGGAAGAACGCCGTATGAACATTCGAGAGTTGTCCAATTTCCCCGGATAAAACACGCATTTTTGAGGAAAGTTAAGCATATTTTCCTTAAAATTTTCAGATGATTTAGATGAAATTACGGACAAAATTGTCTGAAAAAATTAGAAGAAAAATATTAGCAACTTTCCCAATAAATTCGGATTTAATCGAAGCCAATTTGGCAACGCCTGAAGGTTCATACGGCGTTCTTCCTTAGCACGGCAGTATTGGTGGAACATGAATTCAAACATTCAACATTCAAACGTGAATTCATAAATTCATATCAACTTTGATCCTCATGTGATCAAGCATGAAAAGCTGTAAATGGACCGCGTTAAGCAGAAAGAAACCAAGTCACATTAGCTATTGCCTTCAAACGGGCAATTTAATTTTTTACATGAATACGGTTAAGCAGATTTTTAAGCAAACTGTGAATTTTCTACACAGTTCGAAGCAAATTCTCTAAGCTTTTCTGAGAAATCCGCGCGGACGTTCTATTGTAATCAATTATATTGCCAGATTTATGGCAAAACCACATGTGGCTTGGTTCCTTTCTCCTTCACGCGGTCCAAATATATTGATTTTTACATTAATTTGAGCACTACTCTATAGAGAAGTTAGGAATCTTGTCACAAACATTGGAAGTCCGCCTGGATTGAGCCTTGGGAGCGAGCCAGTTCCGTTAGCGAGGCTTCGATTGTTCAAAATCAACCCGGCGCACTCCACTTACCAGTGATTATGCTCCGATGAGAGCACGGCTCAACGTGGAAGCGAAAGTAGCTTTTAATTGGAGTTGAATAAATGGAGAAGAATCCCTGGAACGGGGTGGGGATAATCGGCGCTGAAGACTCTAAGCGCCGGTCGCGAGCGAAGGGTTGAAAGGGGAGCTTTAAAATTTAATGAAAAGAGAACATTAAGGGTACGCAAGAGGTTAATTACGGCTTGGGTTTGTTTTTCTCTCGGCAGGAGCTGTGGCGGCGAGCGCCGGACGGCCGTCGTACAACAAGGATCGTTGCTTCACCCTCCTCGTCATCGATGATCAAAACACGGATTGGTGAGTTCTCCATTCCATCGATCAACATTTCAATACATCATTGTACAATGGACTGTAAAATAAGGACTTTGTGATATGTTTCCTCTTAACGATTTCTCAAAGGAAAAGATCACATGGCGGAAGGTCTAAAAATCAATGCCGACAAAAAATATGCATGTATACGATAAATATTAATAAATTTCCAGAAAACAAATGACGTCATTCGTATGATCTAACTTCTAAGATCGCCGTTAATCCTACTCACTAAAATCTGATTGCTTTCCGAACTTTCTGTTGTGTAGGAATCGTTTTCTTTGTAAGATTTTGAAAATAAATTATGTGACGGTCTTCTCTAGCTCATCCTTATCGGACGCCTTGGACCAGTTTCACTGGTATTAGTAAGCTTAACAATATTTTCTAATTTTTCTTCAGGTTTTATTTTCCTCACAAGAAACAAGCTAAATTCTGGTTTTGAATACATTCTTATGATCTAAGGAAAATTCACCGAAAATTTCAGGGCGGTGTGTATTGCTTCGATTTCTGTTTCAATACTAAAATATGAGACCAAATTAGGCAACGTGGAATTCATTCATCAGACTAATTCTCGTGCCCCCCCCCCCCCCCCC